TAGCCACTTGTAATAAACCTGGCAGTTCCTCTCAACATAGTTAACATACATGTTAAACATTTGATGTCTATGCAATTTTCTATTGCAGGTTTAGAATAACCCCAAAGGAATGTAAACAAGATGTCCAAATAAAAACTGTAGTTGCATGTCTTACAACATTACTTTAATGCAGCAGGTTGTAAAAACCAAATGTTTAACGCTAATAGGATGGATTAATAAAATGTTTTATTAGCGGGAGGAATCAAGGATGCAAGACGAGAAACACCGCAGAAGGAGTGTCTCTCTGCAAGAAAAAGACGATGTAGCGAGAAATTAGAATGAAAAGAAGCAATGAAGATTGAGCTGACAGCATGAGGGCGGCAGAGGGGTACCTGAACCGGAACCCACGGAGGAGGCTGCGGAGGGGACTGGAGCTGAGCCGCCGAGCAAGCCGGACCAGCGGAAGGTATGGCTTTTGCGTTCCCCTCCTGAGGCGATTTTTGGTACTGCTTGTGGCAAAAAAAAAAAAAAAAAAAGAATTTAAAGCTGTAAGTTTTCTTCTAAGTACTTCCTCCCCTCCCCCAATAGGGTCTTGCTCTGTTGTCCAGACTACAGTGCAGTGGCATTATCATAGCTCTCTCTGCAACCACTAACTTCTGGGCCCAAGTGATGCTCCTGCCTCAGCCTTCCGAGTAGCTGGGACTACAGGCATGTACCACCATCCCTGGGGCTAATTTTTCTATTTTTTGTAGAGGCATGCTCAGGCTAGTCTCAAAGTCCTGGCCTCAAGTGATCCTCTTGCCTTAGCCTCCGAAAGTCCTGGATTACAGGCGTAAGCCACTGTGTCTGGTCCTAAATACTTCTTTAGTTGCATTCCACAAATTGTAATATGTTATGTTTCCATCATCATTAAGATCAAAATACTTTCAAGTTGCTCTCATAAAGTTTTCTTTGACTCAAGAATTATTTACACCTTTTGTTTTGAGGATTTCCCATATATCTTTCTGTTATTGATTTCCATTTTAATTTCATCTTGGCCAAACAATACATTTTAAATTTTCAATCCTTTGTGTGACCATGCTGATACCTGAGGTTAGGGAAATTAAAGTAGGCACTGTCAATAAGATGAGATGGAGTAAGCCCACAGCGCTTCTCTGACAACTGCCGATCCTTCACCTTGTTGATGAATATTATACTCTCAATTGTCCCAAGACTGGATTGAAGGCCAGAAGTATGGCTTCAAATTGAAGTGAGATTGTTCTATTGCAACTACCTTCCCACCCCCACCCCCAGTTCCAGCATCTGATTCTTTCTTCTTTCTGGGGGTTCCTGATATTTCCAGAAGTGAGACTGCTATGTTCCCCAAAACCCCAAATTTCTCCTCACTTGTCTAATTTCCTCCCTGTCAAATCTCAGAGAAGAGCCACTGTGGAGAGAAGATAGGGGGACCAGAAACAAAAAGGAGGAAGAGGAGCCATAATACCTTTTATGTCTTAAATCTCAAAGGCCACACCGTGTTACTTCTGCCACATTCCATTTGTAAGAAGCAAGTCACTAAGTACAGCACATGCCTTTTAAAGGGAGGAGTATCAAAGAATTTGTGGACACATTTTAAACCACAGAAAAATGTCATATTTTTTACTTTAAACCATCACATATCTTTTAAAAGAAATTAAGGAGAGAAACTATACTGTCTAATTGGTCTTACTGATTTAAAAAATATATATGTGTGTAGTCATTTATATTTTTATACATATTATTTCTGGCTAAAGTTCTTCATTCCTTCTAATAATTCATGAATTAGCAAACTAGAGTCCATGGCCTAAATCAAATCCACTGCCTGTTTTTGTATGACCTGTGAACTAAGAATGGTTTATACATTTTTAAATAATTGTTTGTGGGGGAGAACATTTTTGTAACATATACAATTATATGAAATTTAAGTACCAGTGTCCATAACAAAGTATTACTGGAACACAGCCACACTCATTTATTTATGTATCATCTATGGCTCCATTCACAGAATAGCTGAATAGTTTCAACAAAAAGCATATGGCCCACAAAGCCTAAAATATTTACTATCTGCCCTTTACAGAAAAAATTTGCCAACCTCTACTATAGATTCAAGTTACTATCATTGAATAATTTCCCTTTAGCCTGAAGAAATTCCATTATCATTTTTCCAAAGTACATATTATAATGAAAAATTCTCTCAGATACTGTTTATCTAAAAATGTCTTTATTTTACCTTTATTTTTGAAGGATACTTTTGCTAAATATTATCATTGAATATTGTGGATAATATACAATAGCCACAATGGATATTGTTAAGTTCTTCTGAAGACTGTTAATTTTTCTTCTGGCAGTTAACTTGTCTGGACCAAAAATTACAAATATAAAAATACTGGCTAAAAGTTATTTTTGCTTTTGGGGATTTTTTTGGCATTTTAAATATGATTTTTTTGGATACCTTTTGGTTTCCATTAATTTCACTGAGAAATCAGGTGTTAATCATATCATTATTCCCTGTATTTAATGTGCCATATTTTTTCCCCTGGCTGCTTTAAAGATTTTCTCTTTATCTTTGACGTTTAATAGTTTGCCTATAATTTGCTTAGCTGTACTTTTCTTTTGTCTTTATTCTGCTTAGAGGTCACGGATCTTGAATCTGTAAGTTAGTGTTTTTGTAACCAAATAAGGGAAGTTTTTTGCCATTATTTCTTCCAGTAATTTTCTGCCCCTTTATCTTGCATTGCCTATGGACTCCAATTAAGGCAGAAAGATTTCAGCTTTTTCCCATATAAGCCATACACAGGCAGAAAACCCTTTCAATCAAAACAGCAGCAAACTTGCAAATTGCACCTATGCAGCTGTGTCTTTCAAGGATTATCACCTATTAGGTTTCCACTGCCTTTCTGACCCCTGTCATTCCTAAGGTTCCCCCTATATACTCACAGCAGTCAGCCAGGGATATGGGCAGAGTGCATACTCTAAATTTGGGTTTTAGCCTCTTAGCAGGTATCTCAGTTCCAGGATTTTCATCCTAAATTCCCAGCTGCTCTAACGGTTTTCAATTTTGTCCTATAACACCTTAAGCCAATATGACTATGGTTTATTGTCTCTGGACCTACAGGAGCTTGGGAACCCTTTGTACAAAGAGCTACAAACTCATAATTTTTACACATTGCTCTACTTACTTTAAAGAATAAACTCTTCCGTACTTTCTGCCTACTTTTGTCTTTTTTCAATACTTTCAAATGATTGGTTATTTTTAAATTTTTTCCAGATTTTATAATTATTACTTGTAGGGGGTTCATTCACCTCATCAATTCACCATTATCTAAACCTGGTAGTCCCCTCATTTTTTAAAAAAATCCCCCAAACTTGAATTTATAATTTTATATGTTAGAAAATTCTAATTATTGCTGATACTATACTGGAAAATGGAATAAGTTATATAAAATAATGGAAAAGCTCCAATATCTACAAATGTAGAAATCTGCATGTGAACACAGATAAATGCATAATTTCTTCACACAACCTACGCTGAAATTGGTGCCTTCCTATTCCGGACCCATATACAGTAAGCTGGAATATAATCAGGTCTGGAGTTGTCATGCTAAGAGTCACACACACACACAAAAAAAAAACCAAAGCAAACAAACCACTTGAAACTATTTAAGAGTTAATAAAAATTAAACTCCCAAAAAAGATTTGTAGACTATCTTAAATAATGTCCCACAGATTAAAAGATTTAGAATAAGAAGATGGATAATCAGAATGAGGACCGTGTATCTTTTAGAAACAATAGCAATAATTAAGAATAACTTTTAAGAATGTCTTTTTAAAATGAAATACTTACCTTTGTTCTTTCTAAAATGAGAATTTTTTAAATTTTTTTTCAAAATGCACTACACATTTTCTTATAACAAGACAGTAAAAGAGTAACTGAAAAAAAGCAACATTTGCTTTTAGGAATTCTATTTTCACCTTTTCATTGACAACTGGATACTAAAATTTCATGGAATTTCAATCAGAAAACTGTTAAATTAGCAAACTAAGTCTGTGGTAATTTATTAAGAGGTCCAAATAGATTAAGTAATTTAATTTAGGTCCATTATATGCAAATTGCTGAGTTAGGATTTGAGTATTCTAAGGATCTGTTTATTCTCACAGCAGCTGTAGCCCAGTAACTGTAATCCCATTAACAAGCAAAGGAACCAATTTTCATTCAGAGTATAACACATAAAGAGCAAGGGAGGAAATGGAGACCAAGGGCATCTTTTTACACCGATTTTATTTAAAAAAAAAAGAAAGAAAGAAAAAGCAAACAATAAAGAACATGCACCATAACTGTCATTCTTCCTTAAGCCAAAACATTAACATAGTTGCTTTGCTCTAAACCAGACATAAAAAAAAGCTGGTTGGAGGACTGCAATCAAACTAAGTGAATTCACCAATGATACACAAAAGCAACATTGCTGATGTTGAAATTCAAGCATAAGCAAGTATAAAAATCAGACAGATTCAGAAAGGGGTATTAGGAAACTTTTGGAAGTGCTGAATATGTTCATTATCTTGATTGTGGAGCTAATTTCATAGGTGCCTACATATATCAAAACTTACTTAATTGTTCTCTTTTGCACATACTTAATTTTAGACCTAATAAAGCCTTTTATTAAAAATGAGCAGGAAAAAAAGCATTGTTCATTTCTGCCCAATCACTTGGCTACTTGAAAGACAAATGGAAACCAATATACAGTGACTGTAACCAAGTATAATTAACAAATCAACGATCATAAGAAAATAGGATAGGCACCGAAGTTAAAAGAACAAATGTAACAGCATTCTTAAAGAGAAAGAACTAAAGACTCAAAAGAAATATCCTGAGACTGCTCAGAGGATTATGGTGGTCATGTTGCCTATGCAATCTATGTTTCACCCTGGTGTAAAATGCTCCTGGTTTCCATTTCCAAATGGATATGTAATGACATAGAGTTTATCAGGATTTGTAGCCTTACTGTACTTCTCTTCCTTGCATCTCTGCAGAATCTCTAAGCTCCTCTGGTGGACTGGGTGTTGGAGAAAGCTAAAACTATCCATACTTTTCAAAATTGCACATGGCGCTGTGTCATCATGTCCTTAGGAAGCAAAAAAAAAGAAAACAAAAAAATGGAGAAAAGAAAAAGACATTATATAAGCCCAAACCAATAGAGAATAAAGGACAATGCTGCCAACTATCTTAAGAGTGTATTAAAAGTATCAAATAATAGAGGTTAAATGTGAATGATTTTCCCAATTAATTTGAGGAAACTACATAAAAATAATAGGAAAAAATAAACATCATTTTCAGATATTCAACATGTCCTTTTCAGTATTCAAAGTATTATGAGTTAACACCACACAAAAAATTTCTAATTAAAATACTAGGGAAATTTCAAAAACAACTTGTATGATTTAGTTATTTTTTTAAAAACAGACTCATTTTTTATCATATCCTAGCAGATAGCTGGCAACACTGCAAGGAACACTGATGAAACCTTAGAGAGAAAAATACCCAAAACGATTTCTCCAAAGTTAAACAATTCTTTCACAAATCCTGTAATTAATCACACTTGTAGGATTTCCAAGTGTGTCAATGATGAAAGTGTGAAGAAAAGCACCATAGAGAGCAGGAAAACCCAGCAGCACTTCTGTATTTATAAATTTGAAAACAAAGCTGGAGAATCTGTACCTCACCACCATTTCTTAGGCAAGTGAGACAGAGATCAGCTACCAGTGAAAAAGGAAGTGAGCATATTCAAGTAAAAATCAAAGCCCCAGATTAGTACTATTTAAACAGTGAGTCACTCGAGCAATAAAGGAGGTGCAGGGGTGAAAACCACAATTAGCAATAAATAGATTTAAAAGAGAATATAGGATTTCCAGGTTTTGGGGGGGAGTTGTATACCATTTATTCAGAGATCACCCCTAGAGTTAGGGCATAATGTTCAAATTTAAGTAAGTTTGCCTTTAAAAAACAAAAGTGCATAGTTTAATAATAGAGGCAAATCAAGCAACACATTAACAATGAACTAAAAGTTCCAGTAGTGCATTTTACTGTATAAATAGGAATGAGATACAAGGGAGCAATCTATTAATAATTCTCAGGGCAGAATCATTTTAAAAGTTAAACAAAGCACTATAATTCAAAGAAGTTTGTGGAGCATGTTTCAGCCTCACACTAATTCCCTAAACTTGATTTCTATGTCTAGAGAAGGCATCTGTATACACCAAAGGAGAGGGACTATTATAATGTCATAAATCGTATAACACTATACATAGAAATAGAAGACTTTTAAAAAATAAAATGAATTTGAAATATTTTTTCATATGTAATAATAAAAAGTATCTAATGAAATACTGTATTATTTACCCAATATGGAGAATCAATAGTCGCAAATGTTCAATGTTTCAAAAACAGTAGTATATACAAGTTTACCATCATTTCTTACTCAAAAAATACCTTAGCAAAAAATACTCTATTTTCATTATTATCAGGAATTCCCCCTTTGGGGGCTGCATGGAGAAAGAATGCTTAAGCATCAGACTAGCCTACACTTGGTTGGGCAGTCAGTTGAGGGGATCAGCTGGAAATAGAAAATATTGTGAGTGCTATTCAGACTCCATCCAAATTGTAAATTTAAGAAGTTATCATGGCTAGGCATGGTGGCTCATGCCTATAATCCTAGCTCTCTGGGAGGCTGAGGCAGGAGGATCGCTTGAACCCAGGAGTTGCAGGTTGCAATGAGCTATAATGCCACTGCACCCTAGCTGGGACGACAGACTAAGCCTGTTTCCAAAAAAAGAAGAAGTAGTTATCACCAAAATATCAGGTCCTTCAATAGCTAGTTGATAATCTGCTAGTCAAAAATAATTCAAGAATATTATATATTAAAATGTTCTATGTAAAAGCTCAGGATATAAAAGTATACTAAATTGTTATGTAGGGTTTTAAGGAATCATTCCACATTACTACAGCCACTGTACTATTTCCTATTTGATCTAATAAATTGTGGCAGCGTGACCTAGATATGGGTACTTTTGTATTTGTGACTGCTTTCTGTCTCATAATCATGCCTAGCTTTGCTTTTAAAACTCTGTCTTGGCCAGGCACGGTGGCTCACGCCTGTAATCCTAGCACTCTGGGAGGCCAAGGCAGGAGGACTGCTTGAGCTCAGGAGTTCAAGACCAGCCTGAGCAAGAGCAAGACTCCATCTCGACTATAAATAGAAATTAGCCAAACAACAAAAATAGAAAAAAATTAGCCGGTCATGGTGGCATGTGCCTGCAGTCCCCTACTCAGGAGGCTGAGGCAGTAGGATTGCTTGAGACCAGGAGTTTGAGGTTGCTGTGAGCTAGGCTGACACCACAGTACTCTAGCCTAGATAACACAGTGAGACTTTGTCTCAAAAAAACAAACAAACAAACAAACAAAAAACCTTCTGTTTTGTTCTTTCACGCTTATTTCTATGCCTTCTTTTCACTCTTTTAACTATCTTGAATATCATTTTCCAGACTATAATGCTATATCTAAATCTTACAGTGATATATATTCCTTTTGTTTGTTGTATTACCAACACTTGGTCAAGATGGTTTGGTTTCCTAGGATGGTTTATATTTTCACTGGGGGTTATTTTCTAAGGAGTCATATCAACTCTTAAAATATGCTTATTTAGCATTTGCTTATGCTAGTACCTGGTCTAGTTTGGGTGATAATTTCTTAGTTTGAGATTATGCACCAAACACATAGTATAAATTCAGATCTCATATAAATGCATGGTGCAGATATGGGGCATTGATTTTTTTAAGGTAACTTTTTCTTAAACCTTATCTAAGACCTAACACATTGCTAGTACTACCTTTATTTCTTTATGCAAGGCCATAAGACAGAATTTTTCATTTATCCTTTCAGTGACAGAAAAGTTCAAGCTCTTTGAAGCTTCTGGACCATATAACAAAAACTCAGTCCCATCTCCAATGTATCATTCAGACCTGAAGCCATGTCTCTGTCCCTGTAACAGTTTCTATAACACCAGCCCCCAGGCCATAGGGCCATTTTTTAAAGCTATATTTCACAAATAGTAATGAGTTTAAACAAATGTTTACATCCATTTAATCCTGAATCAAGATATATCCGAGCAAGTTATTTTATCCATTTTTCTCATCGATACTACCCTTGGCCCCAACAGAATCAATCAAGTTCTGATTTGTTACTATATATTACCTGTTCTTAAACTAAATGAAGTAATACATAATGTACTCTTTCATATCTCGCTCTTGTGCTCAGTACCTTTTGTGACTCATTCATTAAGGGTATCAGTAGTTCCTTTTTATTGCTGAGTAACATTACATGGTAGAAGTATATCACAATTTGGTTATCCATTCTTCAACTGATAGACAAATGGAGCTATTATGAATAAAGGCACTATAAACATTCTCTTGTTATGTGACAGTTTTACTGAAATAAAATTATTTTAATAATTTATTGAAATATAATTCACATACTAAACAATTTACTGACTTAAAGTGTAAAATTCAATGGTTTTTGGTATAATTCACAAAGCTATATAACTATCACCACAATCAATTTTAGAACATTTTGATCAGATCAAAAAGATGCACCATACTCTCTACTACTACCCCGTCTCTTAGCCACACTTCCACCCTCTAGCTCTGCAAGAGCTAAACTAAGTTCTGCCTCTACAAATTTGCTTATTTTAAGAAAATTCACATCAATGGAATCATACAATATTCCATTTTGTAATATCCAATATTCTGTGAATATACTGTTTGATTTGATATTACAAATATGGAAGTAATATTTCTTTCACATAGCACAATACTTTCAAGGTTCATTCACGTTGCAGCATGTACCAGGATATCGTTCCTTTCTATGGACAAATAACATTCGGTTTTGTATGGCTATACCACATTTTTTTTAAATTTTTTTTTTATTTCAGCATATTATGGGGGTACAGATTTTAAGGTTTCAATAAATGCCCTTTCCCCCCTCCCCCCACAAGTCTGAGTCTCCAGCATGACCATCCCCAGATGGTGCACATCTCACTCATTATTATGTATATACCGCCCCCTCCCGACTCCCACCTGCCCAATACCCTATTACTGTAGTACCTCTGTGACCAATTAGGTGCTTTTTAGTTAATACCAATTTGCTGGTGAGTATAGTGGTGCTTGTTTTCCATTCTTGGGATACTTCACTTAGTAGCATGGGTTACAGCTCTAACCAGGAAAATATAAGATGTACTATATCACCATTGTTTCTTAAAGCTGAATAGTACTCCATGGTATACATATACCACATTTTATTAATCCATTCTTGGATTGATGGGCACTTGGGCTGTTTCCACAGCCTTGCAATTATAAATTGTGCTGTTATAAACATTCCAGTGCAGGTGTCTTTTTTGTAGACTGTCATTGGATCTTTTGGGTAGATGCCCAGCAATGGGATTGCTGGATCAAATGGTAGATTCACTTGTATCGCTTTAAGGTATCTCCATATTGCTTTCCACAGAGGTTGAACTAGTTTGCAGTCCCACCAGCAATGTAAGAGTGTTCTTCTCACTCCGCATCCACACCAGCATTTATTGTTTGGAGACTTTTGATAAAGGCCTTCTCCTGGAGTTAAGTGATATGTCACTGTGGTTTTGATTTGCATTTCCCTGATGATTAGAGATGTTGAGCATTTTTCTATGTTTGTTGGCATACTTCTGTCTTCTTAGAAAAGTTTCTGTTCAAGTCCTTTGCCACTTTTTAATAGGGTTATTTGATTTTTTTCTTGCTGATTTCGTGAGTTCTAGGTATATTCTAGTTATCAGTACTTATCGGATGCTAGGATGCAAAATTTTCTCCCATTCTGTGGTTGTCGTTTACTTTCATGACTTTTCTTTGGCTGTGCAGAAGCTTTGAGTTTGATCATGTCCCATTTATTTATTTTGTTTGCTGCTGTGATTGCCTTTGGGGACTTCTTCATAAATCTTTGCCTAGGCCGATGTCTAAGAGTGTTTCCAACTTTTTCCTCTAGAATTCTAATAGTTTCATACCGTAGGTTTAAGTCTCTTATCCAGTGTGAATTGATTTT